CTCAGGCTAAATGGGCTGATCCTGCTGCCTCTTCTCAACATGGCTAGAGAATCCTGAGACTGAATATCTTCGTATCGTCAATGTGGCTGGAGAATTGATGCTCTATAACTTGCTTCTGTCTTATATACCTCCCTAATGCTGGGATTAAAGGCATGTGATCCTAGGTGCTGAGATCATCTTTGTGTGAGCTGTTTCTCTTTAGAACTGGATCAATCTTGTGTAGATCTGGGTGGCCTTGAACTCAACACATATCCATCTACCTCTTAATCCTGAGCTCTAGAATTAAAGGTGTGTGCCACCACCTCCTAGCTTCTGGCTGCTGGAATTAAAGGTGTGTGCCTGGCTTCTATGGCTTGTAACTGACTTTGCTTTTCTGAATCCTCAGGAAAGTTTTTATAAATCATGAATATCACCACATCTTCCCTCCAGAAGCAGAATGAAGCCCATGCTAACCTTGGAAGTTTCCTTACTATTTTAAATGTGTACAGTGGGGTCTTCAAACCAAGGGAAAGGGTAAAGCTACAGTTCTTTTCATGGTTGTTTTTAAAAAGAGACTAACCTGGAATATCCTATTTGGCATGAAAGCAATATATTCACATACTCGTTTCCTTTAGCAATTTTTGACATTAACTAAATTGAACTTCAATTTTCAAGCCATGCATTGAGTAAGAGCACCCTCATCAGGCCACATCTAATATGTCACATTAACAGTTCTAAACTGTTCCTTGGCTTCCACAATAAGAAAGTTATGCAATAATAAGCAAAAATTGCAGAAGCATATGCCAGCTTTTCAAAACTAATCTCCAAAGCCATATTACCCAAATTATCATTTAATGAAGGCAAATGTTGGGCAGTGTTTTATGTGAAGGTAGAGAAAATACTGAGGCTTTAAAAAAAACTTCCATTTAAACCCCACATCTGTGATCTTGAACACTTCTTCTAGCTTCCTTTTACTCATTTTAAGATTGGATGAACTTTTAAGATTTTAAGATTGGATGAACTTTAGTAAGTCTCCCTTTCCAGAATCAGATCATTTTAAATTTCACTTTTTAGTACATCTTATTTGGTGTGGATGGTTGCATACATACCACAGTATGCATGTGGGGGCCAGAGAAAAACTTGTGGGAGTTAGTTTTATCCTTCCACCATGTGGGTCCTGGGAATTGAACTCAGATCATCAGACTCGGTAGCAGGTGCCTTTATTCACTGGGCCATTTTTACCATATTTAAGGTAAAAGTATAAGGCAGTCATTGTGTATTGTAAATATTGTGTTTTGAGATGACAAAGGATCACTTCATCTTGCTCAGACTGTGAGAGTGAAGGTTGACAGAGCAAAGACACCCGCTATTTCTGCACAAAAAGCTTCATAGCTATTTGTTTTATAGAAGACACAAGAACTCATTTATCCCAGACAGGCTTCAAATGCACTGTAGAGCCAAATATTAACTTCTGATTCTTAGGTCTCCACCTCCTGAGTGCTGAAACTAAAGGTATATGTTGTTTACCAAGCCCGGGCTTTATGTACACTAGGTAAGCATTCTACCAACTAAGCTGCATCCCCAGCCTCACATTTTTTAAAAGCAAGAAAAACATGTAAATATGAATACAAACACAGTTTTGCAAAGGGTTTTGCTTCTCATAAAGATGTGTATTTCAAACTCATGTATTAAGTGATCAATATTTTAGTCATCTCTCCGTTACTGTGACAAACGCCTGAGGTCAGAGTAAGGGAAAATATTATATTTGGTTTATAATTTCAGAGGTTTCAGTTCCTGGTCTCATAGCCCCCATACCTCCATGTTTACCATGAGACAGTACATCAAGGCATACACAAAAGGAAGCCTGTTCACTTCATGGTGACCCGGAAAAAGAGAAAAGGACCAGGACTCCAGTGTCTCCTTCTAGGGTATTAACTTCCTCCCAATAGAACCCCACTTTTTTAACTAAAATATAATTTTATCATTCTCCCCTTCATTTTCTCCTTCCAACCTTTCCCATGTACCCTCATTGCTCTCTCTCAAATTTATTGCCTCTATTTTTTTAGTTGTTATTACATACATTTTTTTCTTAAATAAATTAATACAGCCTGCCCAATCCACATAATGTTATTTGTATGTATGTGATTTAAGGGTTGACCATTTGTTAGTTTCCTGACAGACATCATTTGATTAAGATATTTCAACAATTTAACAACTGGTATGCACTAGCACTGCTCAGAACACATGCCAGCCTGAATAAGGGTTCAGGGGGACCTGAAGATGGGTGTCCCCAGGAGAGGACTAGAGCTGCTTAGACCTACAAGCACAGTGTATTTCAAAACCTAAAAACAATGAGCCTGCCCAACCACCTAACTGTTCCTGGCAAAGAATCAAAAGGCCAAATTAATGTCCTGCTAAAGTCACAGTGGATACATTACCAGTTACTACCTGATCCAAAATTATGAATTTTTATAATTTATAATTTGTGTAATGTTCTCTATTTGGTGAGATGTTATAGCACATTAACCCTTCAAATGTGGCTTGGTTTTACTAGATATATTCTTAAAAGCTATTTTAGCGTGAAGTTTGTCTAGGAAACCCAACATGTGTGGTGCCATAAGAACCATTCCTATTGGTCGTTTTCTTTCTTTAAATGGATTAACACTCTCTTGTTTCTATGTAAGCTTCATTTTTTTGTTTTCAAAAACTAGACATTAAAAATAAAACAATGTGGGGCTGGAGAGATGGAGAGATGTTAAGAGAACATACTGCTCTACTTGCAGAAGACCCGAGTTCATTTCTCATCATACATATGAGGTATCTCAAAATCGTCATCCATATCAGGCAGCTCCAAGGGATCTGAAGTTACACACACACACACACACACACACACACATTAAAGGTAAAATTAAAATAATGTGAGAACATTTGCAATCAGATGCCCAGCTCCACCTGCAGGGTTTTTTGCAATCTGTTTAGTGTCTTCTGTGAAGTAATTCTGTAGAACCTGTATTCTTTGTCCACATTCCTACTTGGTTAGCTTAACAACCAGCCAACGACAAGACAGAGATTTCCTTAAAGGCCTAGAACAATTGCTAAATGATTTTGTTTAGTTGTGGGCATGGATCTTTAAAATTCAACTGTTTAAAACTTAACCTTCCCTTCTTGTTTGTGCAGAATCTCAAGCAAGCCCTGAGGTGAGAACTTAGAATTGTCTGGGTTCTTTGCTCGGCAGACTCACTGCCCATCCACCCACATGACAGAATTCAGGGCCCTTATAGAGAGGTCATTCTACAGCTGTGCCTCTAGCTTTTTGTTAATCTGGTGTTTACAGCAGGTTTCTACAGGCTTCTACAAAGAAAAAATACTTGCCTATAGCCACTTTTGACAATGGTCTCCTCCCCCTGGGCAAGGCGTAAGTTTCTGGCGTTGAATGAGAAATGGATCAAGCTTATACAGTGTGGCTTGGCTGGGTTGCATTGTATTCTGTTTGGTTTTGAGACTGTCTGGCTATGTCACCTGGGTTGACCTCAAACTTGTAATCTTCCTGCCTCAGCCTCCTGTGTACCGGAATGACATATGTGTGACATTGTGCCCAGACAGAAAGAGTGTCAGAGCCATTCTTCATTCCCTGGGGGCTAGCAAGCTTCCCTGAAATGCTGACTACTGTTTCAAATAATGTTGGCAAGCAGTGGGAGAGACTAGAACAGATCAGAATGCCATGGAGTTCACTATTCACAGAGACGCAACCATTTTTCTTGAATAAAATATCCCTGAGATACTAAAAGCCACTGGTCAATTTCTAGAGCCCTAAAAAAACTTTTTTGCAAGTTTTCTCACTGTTCTTATAGAGGGAAATTTTTCTGTCCCTCCTCATTCTGCCATTTCACTGGCATTCTTGCACAGTTTAAGCTTAAAATAATCTAAATTTATAGCTAAAAAAAAAAAAAAAAACACTAGAACACTGTCAATCACTGTTATCACAGAAATGGGAATCTAGGGGCTGTGAAGTACCACAGACATAACAGAGATCCTGTGTCTCCAGCAAAACTGGCCCCTACAGCCATTCAGAAAGTGCACCGATTCCCAACACCCCTCCACCCGCCTTACTTAAACCTGCCCTTCTTTAACATCAGCACCAAGATAAATGAAAGGAGGCTAACTCAGTCTCATTGAGTCCCTACTCTATTCTCTCATTACAGTTAATATTTACTTAATTACCAGAGATGGTTCTCTACTACTTTTTACTGCAAACATGCCTTGACTCAACTACATTTTCTTCAGAGACATGTGTTTTACATTTCAAACCATCCATTCATAAACGTTGAAAGTCAACAAAGAGTTGGTTGCACACAGTTAATGGCTGGAACCAAGAAGGGAAGGAAATGGAGCAGTGTGGCCTGGTGGACTGCTGTCGACTTTAAAGGGAGTGGCATTTAATTGGATGGGAGAGGGATTAGGAGAATGTGGTAAAGAATATACATTCAGATGCCATCTTATACTTGCCATAAAATGATCTCAGAAAAATCACCAGACTGTAACTGGCTCTCATAGAAGTTAATATAAAGTCAGAAAGATAATGGAGCTGGGAAAGGCAAAGGAAGACTGAACAACACGCAGGTGTTAATCCCATGCACAGGAGATGGGGTGACAGCTGGTGTGGCTCCTCTGCTATCCCTGAAAGAGGACTCCATTCCTGTAATGGGAGGCTCCTTACTCAAGGCAGTAAGACTGTTACCAAGACCCTGAGTTAGGGGAGGATATGAGGGATATGAGGGATTTCAAGAAAGCCCCACCCTAAGCTCTGAAATGCATTCACTGACCACTCCAGAAATCTTTTCTACCTTCCAACAATGTAAGTCATAGAACTCTCGTCCCACCTATTAAAAAGATTCAGTGCCACCAGTCTGCCCCCCCTTCTATCTGAGATTCACACACTATGTTAATTTATTAAAGAGCTAAGAACTACTGCAATTAAGAAATCCGCTTCTGAGCCGAGCTGGAGAGGGTCTGGCGAGATTTCATAGGCCTCAAAGAAGAGAATGTCGAGACGCAGTAGCCATTTACAAGCTAAGCAGCAGCATGTCCAGCCCAACCAGCCAGACTCTCCCCAAGAAGCCCAGATAATTCAGGCCAAGAAGAGAAAAACAGCACAGGATGTCAAAAAAAGAAAAGAGGAGATCACCAAGAAGCATCAGTATGAGATCAGGAATTGTTGGCCACCTGTACTGTCTGGAGGAATCAGTCCTTGCATTATCATTAAAACACCTCATAAAGAAATAGAAACAAGTGACTTCTCTAGATTTACAAATTACAGATTTAAAAATCTTTTTATTAATCCATCACCTCTGCCAGATTTAAGCTGGGGGTGTTCACAGGAAGTTTGGCTAAACATGCTACAAAAGGAGAACAGATATGTGCATGACAAACATTTTGAAGTTTTGCATTCTGACTTGGAACCACAGATGAGGTCAATACTTCTAGACTGGCTTTTAGAGGTTTGTGAAGTATACACACTTCATAGGGAGACATTTTACCTTGCCCAAGACTTTTTTGACAGATTTATGTTGACACAAAAAGATGTAAATAAAAATATGCTTCAACTCATTGGGATTACCTCATTGTTCATTGCTTCTAAACTGGAGGAAATCTACGCTCCCAAACTTCAAGAGTTTGCTTATGTCACTGACGGTGCTTGTAGTGAAGTAGATATCTTAAAGATGGAACTCTCTATATTAAAGGCTTTAAAATGGGAACTTTGTCCTGTAACAGTCATTTCCTGGTTGAATCTTTTTCTACAAGTTGATGCTGTTAAAGATGTTCCCAAGGTTCTTCTACCTCAGTATTCTCAGGAGACATTCATCCAGATAGCTCAGCTTTTAGATCTGTGTATCCTCGCCATCGACTCATTAGAATTTCAATACAGAATTCTGGCAGCTGCAGCCTTATGCCATTTTACCTCCATTGAAGTAATTAAGAAGGCCACAGGTTTGGAATGGGATGACATTTCAGAATGTGTAGATTGGATGTCGCCTTTTGTCAGTGTAGTAAAAAGTGTAAGTCCAGTGAGGCTGAAGACCTTTAAGAAGATACCTATGGAAGACAGACACAATATCCAGACACACACAAATTATTTGGCTTTGCTGAATGAAGTAAACTATGTGAACACCTTCAGAAAAGGAGGGCAGTTGTCACCAGTGTGTAATGGCGGCATTATGACACCACCGAAGAGTACTGAAAAACCACCAGTAAAACACTGAAGTTAACAAATTGGAATTGGTTTATACAAATGAATAAGTTACAGGAAGAGTAGTGCTGTGGCTGTCCTTGCCTACTGAGGCATTACACTGCCATTTATTTTATTTAATAAAAACTACATCAATTTGGCACTAAATGCCCAGGATGCATGAAGCCTTGGGTTCGATCCTTAGCACCATAAAAGAACAGAACAGAAAACTTCTCAAAAAGATGGGCACTAAAAATATTTCCTCTAGCCATTTAAAAGAGGACATGTTTACAGAGGAGACTTCACTCCCAAGGACAGTGGATAGAAGCCAGCAACAATTTATGCTGTAGCAGTTTCTGTTTGTTATTGTGTTTCTTTAAAATCTAGTGTTATTGTGTTTCTTTTGGCAAAATAGGAATTTTATCATTGGAATATGGACTAAACAACTTAAAAGATGTATTAGCATACACAGAACTCTGAAACTAGATTTTAGATTCTTAAATTCCTATACTCTTGAAGGGTGCAATTTGTCTTTTGAAAATGAAACTTAAACTTATTTACAAAGATTGTTTTGTAATAAAGTGACTAATTTATCTACAGCTGTTTGTAATAAACAATGACAAAACTTGAAATTTAAAAAAAAAAAAAAGAAAAGAAAAGAAATCCACTTCTAGCATTCAGGAGGCAGAGGTGAGCACATGGCTGAGTCTATGAGTTTGAGACCAGCCTGGTCTACATAGTGAGTTCCAGGACAGCCAATGCTATGTAGAGAGACCCTGTCTCAAAAAAAATAAAGAAACAAAGAAAGGAAGGAAGAAAAGAAAAGAAAAACTGAAAAAGAAAAAGAAGAAAGAAATCTGCTCCATAATTTCTACACATTTATGTGTTAACAAATTTACCCCACATACTACCAATTGACATCCTAGAATTAATAAGGCAGGAACTCTGGTCCATTTTAGCATCTGCCTGTTTGGACTCATCCACTAGCCATAGAGCTGTGGCTGTGGAAGACAATGAAGAAGGAGGAAGCGGTCCCTGCATGCCCGACCCACTCCTGCATACCCTGTCCCACTCCAACTCCTCTTTAACTCTGAGGCACCAAGGAGCACGCTCCGCCCTCTACGCCGCCTTTCAGGGTGCCCAAACGATTTACTAGTGGGGACAGTGAAGCAAGCTTCTGGGTTACTGACTACATGGTCTTCTGGAACTCTCACAGCATCCATCCACTCGATCTCAGCCAGGTACCTAGCCGGAGCAGCCGAGAGCAAGGTGACTGCCTGACCAGGGGGAAAGGAAGGGCTGCGTGACCTACAGAGAAGAGACAAAGCAGTATAAGAGAAGATGAGAGCAGCACAAGCTGTCTGGGATGAGAGACAGACGAGAACACCGGCTGCAAGGAGGGAAATGAAGACTGACCTTCCTCCCAGAGATCATGTTCTTTCCTGGACAGGAGCCCTAGTGGCCGTCTTGGGTTTTCCCCAGCAGAGCTACAGTTTGCTTCAAAACTGTGCTCTGTGCGCCCCCTGCCGGCTCTGACACAGCAGCCGGATTTAAAACAACTGCAGTGAAATGCCGGGCAGAGGGGAGATGGCTCAAGAATGCTTGCACTTCGGGAATTTGGCTATATTTTCCAGCAAAGATGGGTACTCGACCTTTTCCCTGTTGTTTTTTAACAAGAGGAGAATGGTTGAAAAATCACTGTGTGAAATGCAGCCACCTACATTGTACCCACCGTGGTGTGGTGTCCTGGGGATTAAAAAGATTGGAATCCTTGCCTCTGCACTTAGAAACTTAGTAGTGAAAGAGAGTGGCTGGCATAGAACACATTCTCAAAAAGCTAGAAAACTTCTATAGCATGTGCCTTAAATGATGACTCAGATATGACTACTGCAGGAATGAAGAAGTCACTCACACAAGCCAGGGCAGGCTTCGGGAAACATGCAACTCGTTGGGAAGATTTTGTTGCAGGGCAGTATAAAATCCTGATCATACCAGCCATCCACAGGAGCCAGTCGCAATACACTTACATGTACACATGTACACACTCACAGTGCTTATACACTCTAGTCTGTTTTATGGAGCAGGTTCAAGGATGATGCTTGGAAAAGTCAAGGCCACATAGCTAGAAAGTAGTAGAGTTGAGATGCAAAGTCAACGTCAACTTCTTCCCTCCACACAGCCCTCAAGTCTATTTTCAAGAAGATAACGATGATGATGATGACAACAACCACCTAGGTTCAAGTCAGAGCCAGCTCTCAGGTTGCCAGCATCCTCTCTCTGGTTCTTTTCTTTTCATCAATAAACTACAGAGTTGGGATGAATAATTCCTAGGGTCTACCTAACCTTAAAAGGGTCAGTGAGATGATTCTGGTAAAGGTGTTACCAAGTCTAACATCCAGAGTTCGATCCCAGGGACCCACATGGTAGAGGGAGAGATTCCCAAAAGATGTCCTCTGACCTCCACAATTGTGCTCTCTCTCTCTCTCTCTCTCTCTCTCTCTCTCTCTCTCTCTCCTCCCTCTCATGCAAAATTAGCAAATAAATAAGTATGTGTAATTACTTCAAAGTCTAGAGAGATGATTCAGTGATTCAGAGCATGTATTGCTCTTGCAGAGAACCCAGACTCCATTCTCAAACCCAGATGGCTAAGCAGAGCACTCCTCCAGTGAGATGGGTGGTAGAAACAGGAAAATCACCAGAAGCTCAGTGGCCAGCTAGCCTGGAGGTTGCAGAGCAACAAAACAACAGAGACTGTGACTGAACAAGGAGGGAGTCACCTCCCAAAAGCTGCCCTTTCATCTCCACATGCTCTCTAAAGAAAAGAAAAGAAAAGAAAATGCTGATTAAAGCATTAATCCCACACTTGAGCCTACCAGATAACCAAAAGCAGGATAAAACCTGGATGTCTGCCTCCATTTCCTTTACTTTGGGTCACCTACTGACCTCTGCACATAGACTCAAGCAGCACTTGTCTCAAATCCAGTGACACCTAACCTGTTCCAGTCCCCTCCACGGCTGTGTTAGGGTCACTGTTGCTGTGATGAAACACCACAATGAAAAGCGACAGGGAGGGGCATGTTTCATTCACATTTCCACATAACAGTTCATCGTCAAGGAAGTCAGGGCAGGAACTCAAACAGGAACCTTGCAGGAACCTGGAGGCAGGAGCTGATGCAGAGGCCATGGCAGAGCGCTGCTTACTGACTTGCTCCCTATGGCTTCTCAGCCTGCTTAGAGAGCCCAGGGGTGACACCACCCACAGTGGGCTGGACCCTCCCCCATCAGTCACTAATTAAGAAAATGCCTTACAGGCTAAAATACAGCCCGATTCTATGGAGGTACTTTCTTAATTGATCTTCCTTCCTCTCAGACGAGGGATGTATCCTATTGGCAGTTTTACGCAAGTCCTGTTTCTGACGCCCAAAGGCACCTAAATGTCAGTCATTGCCCTAAACTTCAAATCACCTTGGATTCCAGAAACAGGGTCTTTCACAATAAACAAAGGCACCCACTCCACACACCCTCAGTCCCACCCCAACACAAGGCTACCCACAGCAGAGTTCATCTTGTGAAAACCAGCTGTCCCCTCCACCAACAGGACTTCTTTGGATTACCCTGAAGAAATAAAACTAAGACTGTGATCAACCAGACTGTGCCTTGACCAGGACTGCTCTGTCATAGAGACCTCCTGTCCCTCTGCCCAGTTCTTCCTCTATCTAAACCTAAAGCACATGTCAGTGTCCTGAAGAGGGGGGACTCAGAGGTCACTAGATCCTCTCTCTCTTTCTCTCCCTCCCTCCCTCCCTCACCCCCTCTCTCTCTCTCTCTCTCTCTTTATTTCTAATGAATATTGCTTAGATTTCCTTTGTCTACCTTTCACCATTACTCTCTAACTGGCTGGAACATCTTGCACCCCACACACACACACCCGAGTTGTCATTGGTACTCGTCCTGTTTTGCTAACACATATCTGCTGGGGAGGGGCTAAGCCTGAAAACTTATACTCTTGACCCCGTTGTCTTCCACTGTGCTGTGAGTCAGTATATATAAGCCCACCCCATCCCCTCAATAAACAGCATTCAACATTCGGTATTCCAACATTGCTGTTGAGTGAATGACCCACTGTCTTGTCTCTTATTCCAATCTCTAGGCCTTCACCTGATTTGTAGAACAAATTGTAGCGCAGGCGCTACAAAAACCCTTGGGAAACTCCCTAGTCTTTCAGTTTTTGAGCTATATACACCTCGTTTCCCCCTGTGTTAAATGCTATTTGCCCAAATCCTTCTTAGGGAAATAGTGCTGTCTGACAGAAAATAAATCTTACTTAATCTGACCAATAAATATGGGTGGGTGGTCTTTACTCTCATTTGGTGGGATTAACAGGTGAGTGTGCCTCGAGGAGTAGGCTAATAAGCAGCACTCTCCCAAGGTCTCTGCATCTGCTCTTTCTCCGGGTTCCTTCCTGCCTTCCATACCTGCTCTGACTTCCCTGGATGATGGATGACAAGCTGTAAGGCAAAATAAACCATTTCCTCCCCAGATTACTTTGGCCATGGTGTTTCATCACAGCAATAAAAAGGCTAAGCCAAGGGACCAGGGCAGGGCGCTGCGGAGACTGAGCTGCAAGCCTGGCGGGTGTGGGCTAAGCCTCGTGCCCCCCACCCTGGGGCTCTTCACCCTGATGCTGAGCCCACCTGGGTCAGGAGGACGGTGAAGTATTTCCTGGGCCAGAGCTTGCTCCGAAGTTCCTGGGACCGAGTGTTCACTGCCTTCTGGCAATGGTACCCGAATCCTTATAGCAAACATGTCTTAACCGAAGACATCGTGCACGGGGAAGTGACCCTGACCAGAAGCTTCTATCCCGGAGACTCCTGACCAAGACCAACAGGATGCCACATTGGGCAGAGCGATTGTTTCCTGCCAACGTTGCCCACTCAGTGTACACCCTGGAGGACTCGATTGTGGACCCGCAGAATCAGACCATGACCACCTTCACCTGGAACATCAACCACGCCCAGCTGATGGTGGTGGCAGAAC